CGTGTCTCATGTCAGTGTTTCTAGTTTTGCTTCCCTTGTCTCGTCCAGCCTGATTACTCCCAGCTGTGCTCTCCTTCTGTGTCTTGTTCCCTCGTTATCCCTCTGTGTATTTGAGCCCGGTGTTTCTCTTTGTCAGTGTTGTAGTCTCCCTCATGGCTGTGTTTCCCTGTGTGTTAGTTAGCCATGTCCCAGTTTAGTTTTCCCCATGCCATTCTGCAATAAAGCAGCTTTTTGAGTTTAATTTCGTTGTTGTGAGTTTTGCGTTTGGGTCCTTCTCCTGCCTGTACACAGCCGAAACATGACATTTTACTTCATTTGAAGTATTTGTTCATCATTTCATTGGAAATTTTAGCTGGTTAAATGACCTTGCACTGCAGTTTCCTGTTTCAGAGGGTGAGTATTCCTCAGTTTAGGTGTAGAAAAGGAGAAAGAGACAGCGACTAAAATTTAAGCTGTTGTAACTGTATGTAAGGACAGCGCTCTCACTGATATATGAATATGCTAGATTTCTCTTTGTCTGTTTTTTATCAGTTCAGTCCTATAAGTGAATTTCTACAAATCTGACTTGAATCATAACCTCATCTCAGAGTTGAACAGATTAGATGTCAGTGTTGATAGTCAGAGGCCTCAAAAACAACAAAAATATACTGATAACATCTACATAAATTCCTTCAGAGTCTTCAGTAAATATATTAATCTATAGAAATGTGGATGCAAACTTCAGCTTGACATGATGACATACAACACAATTTTCTGCAGAAGCATGGGACTGCATGTCAGCCGTGTTTTGTGAGTTAAACACACTTAACTTTGATAGTGTTGCCAAATTGGACAAACTGTGACTGTGTACAAATAAAATAAAACAGCTTGTGTAGATAACTACTGACTCAAGCTTGATTCTTTCTACTTTGAATATAATCTATACACAGATAGCAAATCAGCAAATGAAGTCAGTGTTTCAATCCTGCATATACTGCGTTGTGAAAAAAACCCTTTCTGATTTCTTTCTTTGTTTTCTTGCATATTTGTCACACTTGCATGATTCAGATTTTCAAATAAATTTTAATACTAGACAGAAATAATAAAACGAACTAAAATAATTCTTTACAGTATTGCTTTGTCTTGATACGTGCTCAATCATCCAGGTAAGTAAATCCCAAAAGGTTGATTGTGTTCATCTGGCCGTAGTGTTTTCAGTGGGAGAAACGTTTCGACTTCTTCAGTCTCAGCTAACTGCAGGTTTCCCCAATCATATAAACAGGACATTTGCATGACTAAAACCAGCTCAGCTCAGTGGACCAACACCTCAAATTCACCAGGGAGGATATGAAAAGTGGCAGGTTTGCTTCCATAGAAGCAGAAATTCGGGACATTTAAAAATTGATGTGTACCGTAAACCTACGCATACGGATCAGTATTTAAGGTTCGACTCTCATCATCCACTGGAGCATAAACTGGGTGTCATCAGGACGCTACAACACAGAGCGAACACCAGAAGAACAGCACATCAAGAAGGCCCTGAGTAAATGTGGTTATCCCAGCTGGACATTTGTCAAAGCTGGGAAGGTGCCTAAAGAAAGCTCCAGCCGATCCAGGAGAGAAGGACAACCGCTGCGAAAACTAGTAGTGAACCTGTACGTGTCAGGAATATCGGAACAGTTGAGACACATTTTTTTCTAAACACCGCATCTCCGTGGCTTTTAAACCCCAAATCCTTGGGGCTCCACCCCAAGGATCGGGTCCCCCGACACAAACAGAGTAACATAGTGTACGCTGTTAAGTGCCAGGAGGATTGCCAGGATTTATACATCGGGGAAACCAAACAATCTCTGGTGAAGCGGATGGCACAACACAAAAGAGCTACCTCGTCAGGCCAGGACTCTGCAGTTTATGTACACCTACAGGCCACATGACACTCTTTCAATGATGAGGATGTAACATCCTGGACAGGGAGGAACGCTGGTTTGAGTCAAGGAGGCCATTTACGTGAAAAGGGAAAGACGATCTCTGAATCGAGGAGGGGGCCTAAGGGTACATCTTTCACCATCTGACAATGCTGTGATTGCAGCCATTCCCCAACTCTCTGTGAATGGGACTCATGACCATTAATCAATGATCAGTTTACCTTGATCAGTGGTTGTTGATCAGTGGTTATGACAATTTGCATGTTATTGATCAAGGACCTGACCTCACAGCCCATTGTACCATCTTTTGGAATTTACAGTACTGATTTGATTCAGCTAAACTGGACACTTTTTGCACATGAATGGTCTGTTGGACTATTTTAGGTTATGCCAAAGCATCTCATCATTGTTTTAAACCCCAAAATAGCATATATCAATAATTCAGAACCAACAGTCTTTCTGCAGTTTCCATATAATCTAATATCCCCCTATATGCTAGCATGTTTACATTCAGGTAACCATGTTGTAAGAGACAGGCCTGAACGTTTAAGGCAACAAAGTGTGACTGCAGAAAATTAAATAATAGGTTCTGAGGTCGTCAGAAGAAGCAATAAGAGGCACAGCTTTCCAAAGTCAGAGTGATTAAAAATAAATAGAAAAAATAAAAAAACAGCAAACACTGTGGCTCAAGTAAAAAAAAAAAAATCAAAGTTGATATGAAAAAGACTAACAGACAAAAGAGGAAAACAGCTGGAAGTCAAGAGCCAAATTCTCCCTGTAAAGAACATAAATCCATTTTCTTCAACATCTATGGGATAGTGCCAAGAAATTATAATATAGGTGACAACATCTAATAATGACAGAAGGATTTTTTTTGTTGAATTATTAACACGGTTAAGATATGATATGATGAGATAAGGGATAGTGTTTTTAATATAAATTAAAAAGGTTAAAGCTCACACCTTTACCTTTAGTATTTATTTATTTATTTAAATTCAAATTTTAATAAATTAGTCTTAGCAGTGAGTCATGGAGTTCCACAGGGTTCTGTGCTGGGACCAACATCTTTCTTACTGTACATGTTTCTCTTAGGCAGTTAGTAGAACGTTTTATAACTAGAACACACAGAAGACATTTCCCCTGGTATGCAGATGAGTTATACTGAAGCCAGATGGCACAAATCAGTTAAACTATATTCATGGTAGGACATTCAAATTCACTCACTTGTAGTCATTCCCAGTACTCACTTGTGCCTCCCCTTCCTCTTGGGCACAAATAGCCTTGCCTAAAAACCCCATCTTTGTCAACTACCGTCTCTGACTGTCTGTTGCGTCGTGTCACCACATCTTATAAGGACACATCTCTTATTAATAAAATCAGGGAAAATTGACCTTAATCTCGTCATTCTGCATTTTTGAGTCACCTGTTCTTGTTGAGTTTAAAACACATCCCATGTCAGGATGATGATTTCTAACTTCCAACTCTTAGATAAATGTAATCCCCTATTATCAGGATTAAAATCTCTATCATTGGGGTTTTATGTGTAATATTTCTTTCTTGCTGCAAGGTCTCATTTTATCTTTAGATATTTACTTTCATAGTTGCAATATATAATTAAAATTAAACAGAATTTAATTAATGTGCAACCACGAAAGAACTGGGTGAGACAAATGTCTCTGACAGTACAGTGCTCCAACGGGTATGAGTCCCAACTTGGCTGGTAGTTGGGGGCGGGGGCTGGTGGGCTGTTTAATGGCGTTCTGTGTGGAGCTGCTGGTGGCACCTGGTTTGCACAGAGGAGATTACTAAAATGTGTGTGTGTGTGTGTGTGTGTGTGTGTGTGTGTGTGTGTGTGTGTGTGTGCAGGGTGAGTGATTGGTCCTGACAGCAGTCTCTGTATTGCTGGCTGGCCTGCAGATTTAGCCGACCTGTTTTAGACACTCTAATCTGGATTAACTGCAGCAGTGTGTCAGTTGGGACGAGGACCGGAGCCTCCCCCACCCACTGCCCCTTCACCTGCTTTTCCTCTCACTTCCCCTCCATCCATCCACCCATCCATCTGTATGTGGGTCTTTTCTCCCCGCCTTCCATCCACCTGGATACCTGGTCTCTGTCTTCTTTACCATCTTTCTGAGCTTCAAGGCCTCGTTCAGCACACAAATCAGAAAATGTTCAGTTGCAAATATAGACGTTGGCTCACTTGATTCACTCTGAAAATGTCTCTGTAAGTCCTGTTTTGGGGGGAAGGGTAGGGATTAAACCAGCTCAGTCCTCTTCCCTATTTCCCTATTTGTTGTTGCAGCCGTAGGAAGAGCTGTCCCACTGATGAACAGAGAGCACATTGCAATCATCAAGCGGGCAGTGTTTGAACACCACTTTTATTTTAAACAAACATAAATCAGTCCGAAAAGATTAGCAGTGTTTAATAAAAAGAACATCACTATTCAACAACACCAACGCCCTAAAAGAAAATAAAACAGAACGATTACATAGCTAAAAGTAAAACATTACTCTTTAATAAGTCATGATTTAACAATCTAATAAAACAACAACAAAGCTCGTCGAGGCCAGAACCCTATAAGCCTGTAAAGGTGCCTGTCAGTCACACATGTACAGTATGATACACTCACTCCTGAGGATGATTCTTTCATCACTGGCAACAACCTGCTCCACAAGAAGAGTTTGGGACTAACGCGACCCCAACTGTGTCTTTTTAATCCATTCCCATGTAAACCCGAGGTGCCTCCTTCAGGTGCAGCAGCTCTGAGTTCTCTGTTGTGCGCTCTCTCCTCTCCTTCCAGCGCATCTTCTTCTCTTACCTTTTTTGGTTAAGTTTACCTGCTGACCCATCCAATTCACACCCCTGCAGTGCTGCTGCTGTTGTTCCATCCCGCACCGCCACTGAACGGATTGCTCTGTCTTTCCTCTCTTTATCTGGAGATAAGATACTTACTTTTGAGATAAAGCATATTATGATAAATCAAATGAGCTTTATCGCTTTTGTGCATCTGGGTGTTTGTGTGTGTGCGTGTGCGTGTGTGTGTTAATACAGCTGCTTTGCAGATAGATATAATCTGTGAATCTCTGAAGTGTTGCAGATGTGCACCAGGTTCACTGATCAGGGAGGGAAAATGACTGAACATGATCTGTGGGAACTAACTAAGGCATCAATTATTTTTTATTTTGATAAACTACACAGGTAAGGATTGTGGACTGTATGTTTAAAATATACAATCAGACTGAAAATTATATATTTAATATGGTAGATTAGAAGTTTGGGGGAGATATCTATATTATTTATACTTGGAGGACTTTCTTTGTATGTATTCAGGTTAGAATAAATTGTTCAGGCAAAGTATTGCGCGTGCCTGCCTCTGTGTATATTTGTGCGTGCGTGTGTGTGTGGGAGGGGTTTGTTGGAGACACTTGCTCCCTCTAATTAGCAGTGTGCGCCGGTAAAGAAACTCAGTAGAGCGACCTCACCAAGGCGCAAAGGCATCCGAAGGCCACTTCACCTGTGTGACTTTGACTGTGTGAAGTTGGACAGAGAGGCGGTCCGGATGCTCGCTGCTCTGCGGTGTGCTGCCCAGCTTAGCTGACAGTCGGTTACAGCTGAAAGAGCAGTTTAAGAAAAAAGGAAAGAGAAAGAAGAAAAAAGCACTTGTCTTGTGAACTCCTGCGCGCCCCGCTTATCCGTTCAGCGCCTGGCCTCGGACGCACCGACTTGTTGCCCCGGCTGAGCTCTGAGGGGGCCACGGCTGCTGCGTTGCGTGTCCGACCTACAAGTCAGCGAGAGGACTTAAAAGGCTGCTGTAAGGATGATGTCCTACATAAAGCAACCCCATTACACCATGAACGGGTTAAACGTGCCTGCTCCTGGAATGGATGTGCTTCATACAACCGTCGCTTATCCACGTAAGTTTGAACTTTTATAGGAAAAAACAAAAAATACGCATTTCTGTCCTCACAGTTTCTAGAATCACGTTTGTCAGAATGGTGCGTAAAAACGCGCAGGTTTCGATGCTTTAGCAAACGAAAACATTATTTTCTGTTAGTGACCGATGCTGAATATAGTCTCTAATTATTACGCTGGACTGAATAAAATTGAATATTTCGGAAGAACTCTGTAGTAAGAGATATTTTGTCCGTCGGTCTTTAAACTTCCACATTATGCGGCTCTGTGGATAAATTTATACGTAAGATTTATTTTTTAATTAAATGGAAAACTATTAGTTCTGAATTCAGATGAAAATAGATTGTTGTTGTCAGCGTTTTGTTAACTTTTCTTAGCGGCTTCATTAACGCTCAGATTGGTATTTTATATATTAGAAATTCTAATATATAAAATATTTGTAATAATTCTTGTTCTTCTGCAAATACAACAAGACAGTTGGCTCTATGCACCATGAAGGGTAGACTCACAGCACTTTTAATGGAAATCCTATTTTATGAAATAAAAAGTCGCCGTTTCTGCTTTTCAAAGTAAAGTGAACTCCTCTAACAACCTCTGACTATGATACTTCATTTTGAGACTTATTCTATTTATTTTTTGTCTTTTTCGTGGGGAAAACATATTAACAACTGGCATGGCATAATACTGAGATATTTCTATTAATACTTTTTAGTATTTGTTGTCATCCACGCACATAGCTGGAAAATAAAACTGTCCAAAGAATCACTTGAGCGCTTGTTGTGTTCTTTTTCTACAAAGATGATTCAAATCACTCACATAAAGACTCATAATTCATGCCGCCCCTCTGTTGATGTTAGCACGATAATCCCCTCTCTATGTCATTTCTTTCAGCCACTCCCAGGAAGCAGCGCAGGGAGCGCACCACCTTCACCCGCACACAGCTGGACATCCTGGAGGCGCTCTTCTCAAAGACCCGCTACCCAGACATCTTCATGAGGGAGGAGGTGGCCCTCAAGATCAACCTGCCTGAGTCACGTGTCCAGGTACTGGAGAAGTAGGCTACTGCCAAGATGGAGGCCACTGTGTTCAGGCCTTGTGGGTTCCTCATAGTGAGCTGTGTTATGAACTTCTGCATAGAAGTCTATGTCTATGCCTCTGTAACCCAAACCTCTGATTATTAATACGTTATGACATGTCTGCATGACTGGTAACATGTTGAATCTATTTTGTTTTGGTGACCTCAGGTTTGGTTTAAAAACCGCCGTGCCAAGTGCCGCCAGCAGCAGCAGCAGAGCAGCGGCCAGTCCAAGCCCCGGCCTCCCAAAAAGAAGGCCTCGCCAGCGCAGGAGCCTAGTGCTCCTGATCCCGTTCCTAACCCATCTGGCTCATTCAGCCCCTCCTCAGCCCATTCTGGCCCCAGCCTGGCCCCGAGCTCCAGCACCGGAAACACTGCCGTGTCCATTTGGAGCCCAGCCATCTCACCCCTGCCTGACCCCTTGGCCTCCTCCTCGGCGCCCTGCATGCAGCGGCCCTCACCTTACCCTATGAGCTATGGCCAGCCATCAGCCTACACCCAGGGCTATGCTAGCACAACCTCCTACTTCACTGGCCTGGACTGCAGCGCCTATCTGTCCCCCATGCATTCACAGTTGTCAGGCACCGGAGGTGCTCTCAGCCCCATTGCTGTGCCCTCTATGGGGGGCTCCTTAAGCCAGTCCCCAGCATCTCTGTCTTCACAGGGCTACAGCACTGCCTCTTCCCTGGGCTTCACCTCTGTCGACTGCCTGGACTACAAGGACCAGCAGGCCTGGAAGCTGGGCTTCACCACAATGGATTGCCTGGATCACAAGGACCAAAACTCCTGGAAGTTCCAGGTTCTCTAGAAAGCGTGTCAACATGCCACGTGCATCAGTGAATCCCATGTAAGATAGGGCAAAGCAGTTCTCCCAGAGGACTTAACATTGATTTCTCAGTTTGTCATTTGTAAGATTTTCTGTAGGAAATGCATTTGATTTAAAAGGTTTGGAGATGAACAAATGAATGAGTGTCATCGATGCTGCCTGACTGCAAATCATGTCTGTTTTCTTCTTTGTGTTATCTTAAATAAGAGAACAAACGCCTTTAAACAGTTTGAAGGAAAAGACTGGAGAAACAACACAAGCTATCTCTTTCTCTC